CTGTACTTCTTTCAAAAATGAAGGGAATATGATGACCCATTTGTTTGGTCATGTAAATTAAATTACATTGTACTGTTTACCTAGTTTGACACAAGATGCAACTACACTGGCTTTTGAATGACTGATCAGAGAAAAGGAAATAATCAAATTAAAAATCATTCTCAGTCTGACATTTTCTTCTATTCAAATGTTCACTATCCAGTCAAGCATGATCATGTACAAAGTTCTTCTTCATTACTTCTGAGAGTAAAAACAGTACTTTTTACTCTTTTGGTCTGCATGTATAGCAGTTTCTGGCGTGATGGTGACTGCTGCCTGAGGTTTACTGTATCTTCCACATCTGATTTCTTTGAACATGGACATGTTCTTTGAATATGAGTCATCATTCACATTCAGCTCAGTCACTGTAGACAAGAATATCATGTTACTGTACATGTTCACATTCAGCAGTCAGTGTGTGTACAGTTGGCTGCAGCCTGGAAAACAGTCAGTGAGAGAAGTGCAGCTCAGCCTCAGCGCAGTACAACAGTATCTACACACAGACAGTAGGTACAAACATGAAAACTAATCCGATGAATACAGACCATGAGAGCTTTTGAAAATTTTTGGTTTGCAGTTAAATAAATGATGTGACGTTTATGTGATTAGTAAAAAACAAGCTAAATCAGTGGGACTCGGTTTTTACATGCAAGTAAAAATAAAATGTAAATGAAATGAGAAATGCAGACAAGCTGCAGCTGCTGCCTGACGGTGGGAACGACGTCGGGCCCTGGCTGCACCTCGTGCCCCACACTCACACACACCAGCACAACAGAGTGTGCATGTTTCTGCAGCTGCTTCCAGCTTGTCAAGCTGACAGCCACTTTCCAGTGATGTGACTGTGGGCTGGGACTCACAATGCATTTCTCTCTGCTGGGATTCTGTTCAGCTCAGTACTGACATGGGAATACCTTTTTGGGATATGACAGATGGGCATTAGCACATTCTACATCCCAGAGGTCAGAGGAGAATTTTTGACCTATTATTACTACTTTTTTATTTATTTATTTATTTTACTCTTATCTGACTGACTGGAGCAACAGTTGCAATGAAGCAGTTAGTGAAAGTCAGCCTGAGTCCTCTGAGGACAGACCCAGTACTGTGCGTACTGCGCTTGAATTGTTGACTTCTTACCTTAACTAGTCTATTTTATGTTGAGCGCATGTTTGTTTTTTTTAAACTAGGTTATCCCTGTCTGCAGCTGTTCTTTTACCAGGGCTCCCTGAGGAAAGAGGTTGGAAAAAAAAAACCTGTCGCTTGAGTTGTGTGATCATTCATGGTAAACATGAAGCTTTGATTAATTATTGTTAAACTTAGATATGTTTTGTCTGGTAATGCATTCGACCAATCAAACCCTAAAGTTGCCAACTTTAGCACTTTGGATATACATGACCAGGATAAACATGGAGCCTAATGCTAGTGCTAGGTTGTTTGAATATTGCAGCTTTAAAAAGTTCTCTTAAAAGGTCAGAAAGCTGCAGGGTAGCTCCTTGAAGACTGGACTACAGAACCAGAGCTGAGCCCACAGTATGACTCCTGCTACTAAAATCAACAACAGTTATCTGAAGCTGTATGATAAAGTAGCTTTAATTAACTTATGTCCACACTTGAGTTTGAGACCTGAAAGAGGATATAAAGTTGGTGCCAATGGCAAGGCAGCAAAAAACCTAAGACCTTTGTAATACCTGCTAAGGTCTTCGAGGAAGCTCAAATCAGTGCCTTCAATAAGGCTTTTGAAAAGCTGCAGACACCCTGTGCATTAGTCCACATTTGGCCACTAGAGAGCAGAAGAGCAAGCTGACAGTGTGACAACACAGCCAGGGACAACATCGGCTTTATGGCACACTGTCTGTTGTCTAAAAAACATAGCAAACAATGTTTAGTTCTTTCAAAGGCAATATTTATTAAAATGTACATTTGTATGATACAAATCCTCTTAAACACGACTATCCAGGTCCACACACACACAAACGTGCATCTACAACGCACCACTACACTCTCCCAAGTTTTTCTTCTGTATCGTGAATAAAAGCACACCAAGGTTTTGGACCCAGGTCACTTGGTCTGTTCTCCATCTGAATGCTTCTCTTCTCTTACTGTTTTCGTCCACCCGGTCTGGACGTCTGAACTCTATCAAACTCCAATAAATAAATAAAGTGCTCCACATACAGCTGGATGACTACACCTCACTAGCACTGGTTATTACCATTATACCTTAAATCAGTGAATGTACAGTTTATTGTCTTTTTTAAAAGTGATATATCTAAAAATTTGTATCATCTTAATAAGTTATGACACTGAGTTATTTAGACAAGACAAGATGAGGAATCCTGGATGCTTTTGTTGCTCTTAGCTTTGCAGCAGAGGAGAGCTCTTAGACGAAGAGCAGAGAAATGAGGTGCCACCCACTGAACAGTTTGTCTTTGCTTCAGGCTGACAGGGAGGCGGCAGCATTTGTGTATCATTTCAGCATCAGTTAATTATTAGCACATTATTGACATACAACAGAATAACTTAGGAGAACAGCCTCAAATCTGTACTTCACATTTTAGATCAGAAATCTGCAGGGTGGGCAAAAAAAGAGTAAGAGGGAGCTGAGCAGCCAAAGCAGAAAGAGCTAAAACTGTTTAATGGATCACTGATACAGGAGCACCTTGAGTTTCTGCTTAGTTGGTGTTCTTAGAATTAGTCTTACAAATATAGAGTGTGAAATTTTGCCTTTTGATAATGGACAGCTGACAAGAACTGTCTTTTTTCTCAGGCTATCAACATGCTAACAGAGATGCTAGCAGACAGGTTTGGCCATTTATGACATCCATATTATATATATATATATATATATATATATATGGAGAGAGAGAGACAAATCATTTTTGAGTTGCTGACAGCTAAGGATAATCACCTTTATTTGTTACGCACACAAGGAATTTGTTTCCGATACAGAACCGAAGCAGCCATCTGCGGTGCCAACTCAACCAATGGCTCTAACCATCGGGGGTTTAGTGTATTGCCCAAGAACACTTCAACAGGTGGACTGGAGGCACCGAGATTCGAATCTCCAACACTCCAACCTGGAGACGACTGCTCTACCCACTGAACCACAGTCACCCTAGCTGTGAAAATACTCATATACTTGTGACTTGTGAGTACAGAGATGTTTTCCGTGGAAGGAAAGGATAGGAAGAAAAATGTGGCCCCTTTCAAGCATTATTAAAACCACTGGTGTCACTGGAGTTTGCTGCACAATGCTCTCAGTGGTTTACATTACTCTTAAGGTAAAATCAGATGTCAACAAGATGATACACTGATGATGAGATGATACACTGACAACTTTTAATACAATCACAACAATTAATACATGTACTCTTAAGAAATATTGGATCTTTTGGCCTCAAAAATTACTTTTGATAAATCAAAACTCTCATAAATGACAAATATGGTCATTCTTTGTTCTACTTCTCTGTTGAGGTAAAATTCAGAGGTCAAAGTTCACCTTGTGTGCCCTGTGGTTTGCAGCTGTCTGCTGGTGAATGCAAGCTGCAGTACCCACCTCCCTGCCAGCAGAGGCACCAGAACAACTTACTGCAGGATAAATTAGACCTCACACAAGCTGTGTCCATCACACAGTCCTGCCAGTCACAGCTCAGTATTCTGCTCTCCTGACATCCTGAAGCAACATAGCTAAAGTTTCCTCTTTTGTTGTCTTGTGGTTTTAGAGCACGTTGATCTGAACATTGTGTGTGTGTGTGTGTTTAGGACCACTGGCAGGAGCAGTCAGTCGGCTCCTGGATGGTGTAGCTGACCCAGGTTGCATTGCCGCTGCAGTAGAGTTGCACAGAGCGCCTCTGCAGGCCCGTCTCCCTGCAGCACTTGCAGAAGCGAGCGTACGTGTTGATGTTGTAGTTATAGATGCTGGCGGACGGACACTTCCCATCACATGACACAATGTTCACCTGCAGGACACACAGAGAGTTGAATACAGAAGACAGCAGGTCTGGAAAGGACCTGGTGAATTCAAGTAGGGAGGTGGATGAATTCCTGTCAGAAAGCCAATGCATGTTCTTTTTTAGTATTTTATATCAAACAGTGCAGTACATTTAAAGTTTCAGTCACTGCAGAGTAAAAACCAAAAGTGATATGGTGAAGTCATGATGAATAAAGGAGCCAAGAAGCTGCTTTTGTGTCTGTGGCCCCAGGAGGACAGAGCTCAGTTCACAGCCCGAGTTCATGTTGTGAATGTTTGTGTTCACTGAACACGTGAAATACTGCTGATATTTCCACTTCATGGTAACAGTACTAGAATTAACAGGCTGCTGCACCGGATGCATCATGATCCGACTGACAATATTTTTCTGTGTTCATTTTGCAAAACCAATGGTGCATGGATTTGCAATTTAGACAATGAGACCACAGCATTACAATTAAACTTGGTTACATTTTCTGTCACTGTCATATTCCTCAGGGTCATTGTTACTGTCAATATGAATGTAATCATGCTGTGTATACTGAGCAACAGTCACCGACATGTTCTGGTTCCACCTTCTTTAATGTTGATGCTTTTCTTTGTCAGACATGAGAATCAGTTGATTCTCTGTGGATCTGTTGGTTGGACACAATGAGACATTTGAAGACACCCCACCTTTGGCTCTGGAGAGTCACAGTGGGACTTTTTCCCCAGTGTCTGACATTCTGGGGATAAACAGATCAATCAGATCATCAGGATGATGATCAGCTGATTGATCAGTGACCCTGATGGTTGTGTCTCCACTCAGTCAGTCATGAGTCTCCTCTCACCTGTGCCCATCTGTAGGTTCAAGTATTTGTAACTGTGAAACTCTCCATGTTATATATTTATAGTTGTTTGAGTATTAAACACTTGTCCTTTAAGGCTTAAGATGTGCTTAATAGTTTGTTCCAACATGGTTCAAGGTTAGGGTTAAGTTAGGGTTAGTCTTCAGGAAATGAACGTAAGTCAATGTAAAATCCCCACGAGGAATGAAAACACGTGTGTGGTGTGTTTAGGTGGACGTGACCTGGTTCTACATGAACTGCCTGGCAGACACGTGCGCGTGCAGCCGTGGAGGTGACTGTGAGTGCTTCTGCACCAGTGTGGCGGCGTACGCCCAACGCTGCTGCCACCAGGGTGTTCCTGTCGACTGGCGCTCCCCCTCTCTATGCCGTAAGTCAGAGCTCAGGGAGTTGGCTTCTTTTTTTAAGAGATCATTTAAATCTGGAGCTGGTAACATGTAACAGTAATCATTAACCTTTAATAAAATACTGTTTGCCTCATTGAAAAGTGAAACCTAATTGTTTTGATTAGGAAGCACTTTGTTATTTTTAACAACGTTCTTTGCTTCTCTCTGCAGCATATGATTGTGAATTCTACAATAAAGGTATGACAGTCTTTTCACTGACTATTAAACTACATCACACACGCAGACACACACTCACTTACACGAGTGGATCTACAAATGAAGCATACTGCTCAACAATATAATGATGCTTTCTTGTTCCCACTGAAGTGCTGCTATCTGTGTTCCTTATATCTAAAGGAATATTTACATATCACAAACAGTTTTTAAAAAGTGGCTGAACTGGAAGTCACATCCGTCTAACAGCCTTCTGAGAAAGCTGATACTCTACTTGACTATATGCTAAATGCTCACAGTGTAACTGTCTAGAAATGAATGGAAACCAAAGGTGAAACTGCTGCAACAACTAATCAAAAAATTCAAAACCAGCTAAAGCTGCATTAACACTCTGTAACACACATCACTGCTGCAGTGACATGGCTTCCTGTCTGCAGCGCTGGGTAAAGGCCCCTTCAGGCTCATCACCTTCAGGGATCGGACGGCGTTGGTGGCAGCTGGCAGATCCAGTGGCTCTGTGTTCCTGCAGCGGGACGACCTCACCACCAGCACCGCTGCCACCGCCGGCATCCTGACAGAGTTCATGATGACGCCGGGCCTCAGCAGAGGCCGACCACATGGTCAGTTCATTTTCTTATGGTTAACTTTATTCACAGTGACTCTGACATTATTTATTCCTTCTGTGCAGCACCCTCTCTCCCCTCCCTACAGACTTCTCCTTCATTTTTTATTTGGAAAATATTTTATTTTGTTTTTCAACTATCAGGAGTCAATGCTGTTTGTCTGGTTATGAGCTCCTGCAAACTGTAAAAAGGGCCCAAAACAGTGCTTAAATATTGTCTAATGATTGACCTTAAAAGAACCTGTTATAGATTCACTGATTTTTGCCTCAGCTTGTTCCCTTAGTGGACAGACACATGCTGAAGGAATGACAGCGGTGGAGATTTGTTTATGTTGCCATACGAGTGTATTAAAAAGATTTTTTTCTGTATTTCTTGACAAGTTGTGGTTTAAAGTCTGAGGCAGGATGTTGTCATGAAGAATGTTTCTCATCCTCGTCACATTAAAAGGGATTTTACGGAAGAGGATTCAGGCCACTACGCAAAATTTATTTGAGTTCTGACTTTATTCTCTGAAACTGAAGTCAGAATTCTGAGAAAAAAGTCAGAGCTCAAATAAATTTTGTGCAGTGGCCCTGATCCCCTCTCATGGAGTTTCACATTGTACAATGAGAAATTGCCAAAAGATGATATAATAAGATGATAGTGGCTCGGTGTCGAATTGATAGAACGCAGAGCTGTGCTGAGACAGGTCAGCGCTGTAAACACTAAAAGGTGTAGACATCCACCTGCTCCCTGTTTCCTTTTCTGGCTGCTCCTCCCTACTGTCTCCCTTTGTTTTTGTCTATACAGACACATCACGTGTTTCCTTTGAGGCTGCTGATAGACCAAACTACTTCCTGTACGTGAGCCCTAGCGGCCAGGTGAGGCTGGCCAAATGGGAGCAGAGCAAGGCATTCTGGGACCGAGCCACCTTTGTCCTCCGCAGGAACACCTGGATCCCTGGCTACGACTCGCTGGAGTCCCACGCAAAGCCTAGCTTCTTCCTGCACGCCACACCGCCTCGCCTCCACCTTCTTAAATACAGACACACTGACAGCTTTCGCAAGGCTACGCTGTTCAGACTGACAGGTCAGCAGCACTGACATGGCCGACAAGCAGTGAACACACCACGCACCTGTCACCAAAAGTCAGTTAGTCCGTGAACATATCAGAACCAATTTAAATTCAAATTTTGTTGATAAATGTCAGCAATTCAGACTGTTTGTAGGGTGGTAGTTTATTAGCACTGTATCAGATCTGCTTTGAATCATTTATGAAGGTAGGATATGAAAAATGCTTTAATAAGTAACTAAGTAAGATAAGTAAGGTAGTTCATTTTCACAACCTGTAGTTCCACACAGTGTTTTAAAGTGCGTTTTTCATTAGGCCACAGCCCAGAAGCTGTGCCGGGTCCTCGGTGCCAGTGGAGGTACGATGCCTGCATCAGCCCCTGCTTCAAGACCTGCAGCGACCCGTCGGCCGAAGCCTGTGTCACCATCCCACAGTGAGACCTTCCTCCCTGCTCACAGCTGCAGTCTAGAAAACCTGCAGAAATTCAGTGAAACATTGTGAAAACATGGAACACATGTTTAAGATGATTGAGACCTAAATGATCTGTAACAAGTGACCACATGATTTGGGCAGAGAAGTCTGAGTAAAACAAAGCTGCAAAAACTCTTTTCTACAGCCATATTGTATGTTGCTCTGTGTACAGGGTGGAGGGCTGCCTTCCTGTCTGCCCCCTACACATGGTCCTGGATGAAGTCACCCTCCACTGTGTCTATGTTGAAGACTGTAAGTGTGACTTCAGTGTTTGCATCAGATATTAAACTGAATGAACTGGTATCTGATGGTCCATGAAGACAGAGGAAGCAGTTTATGCTCTGTCTAACTGAGCACATCTCTAACTCAGACTTTATTGTTTGGTTTCAGGTATTAAGGCCCCAGTTTCTGTGCAGCCTGTAACACCGTCCACTATTCAGCTGACATCTACAGCTGCCACTTCTGCATCTACCACCCACCTCAAGACCACAATCACAACTAAACCGCCCTCGCCTCCAGATTCTGGTATTACCACTAACATCACCGCCACTATTCATGCTGTGATCACACAGACCAGCTCCTCTGAGGCACCCCCCGGCTCTGACGAGCCAACCAGACCAGTTACCATGTCTCCTTCTGCAGCTCCTAAACTTTCCACAACTGCAGGACTCCCACCTTCTCCAACACCGCCCCCTGCTGTCCAGCCAGAGGTGGTGGAGCCAGTGACAGTGACTGAAATCCCGCCTACCACGGTAACAGGTACAGCAGTGCAGACGACCGTGACTCTGAGCTCTGCTGTCAGCCCCGTCAGCCCCAGCACGTCTAGCACCACCAGTGGTCCTTCTGCCATCACGACTCTGCTCTGGACCACCTCCTCCTCCGAGCTCACAGCCACCCTGAAGCCAACTTCAACCCCAGCACAGACCACCAGATCTGTCGAGGACTCAGCTGCCATCAGTACCCCTCCTCCTCCGATTGTAGCAGCTTCCAGTCCTACTCTGGTCTCAGAGTCGTCTGTAGTTACAGACAGGACTACTATTCCCAGTACAGCTGCACACATAGACACCAGCACAAAGGCCGTAACAGTGGAGAGACTTCCCCCAACAACAGCTACACCCAGCCCTCCTGGTTTAATGAGCACGGCACTCACAACCTCTCCACCTTTCCCCACCCTGCCTATTGAAACAGAAACAGCGGCTTTGCCCACACTCACTTCAGAAAAGACCACAGAGTCCGTGACACCAGTTGCACCTTTCACCACCACTAAAACACCATACATAAGCACAGAGACAACATCTCCACCAGTTACCACAGAGAAGATTCACTATGCCACTCCTTATGAACTGACAGCCTTCACTACGATCGTTCCTGAGTTACCAACATCAACCCCAGACCATGTTGAACCAACTACAGCTCGACCATCTGTTGCTGCCTCAGCTGCTACGGACTGGAGAACACCAACAAAGACCGTGACCGCACATGAATCTGTGTCTAAAATACTTGTTGCTACCACAACAACAGCTGTACCTCAGAAGATTACAGACACCACAACTTCTCCTGTGCCCACCTCCACAGCCTATACTGAGAGAACCTCCTGGTCTGCTTCCGTCCCAATAACAGAGAAAACAACTCTGAGTTCTCCAGACGTTCCAGAAGTGTCCACAGGTCCTACTGTCACAGCAAAACTGACTGTACTGCCAGAGTTTCCTACACAAACCATGGCTGTACCACTGTCACCAACTACCAAGACTTCCACCCATCCTGCCTCTACCATGCAGACCTCCGAGCCTTGGCATCCTCCCCATCGAGAGACCTCCACCACCCCTGTCTCCAGCCCTGCAGGGAAGCCTGCACCAGAGGTCACTTCTGAAACTGTCGTCCATGTGGTCACATCCATTGAAACTACAGAAGTTCCTCGTCTTCCAGTAAGAACAACAAAGCTTGTTGTCACCTCTGTGACATCAGCTGCTACAGCCACCACTGCCCAAACTACAAGGCTTCCTGAAATCTCGCCTGCAGAAAATGGAGCCACCACTCCAAGGAAGCTGGACACACTGCCACCCACACCTGGTGCTCCTGAGACACCTCTCACCATGGCCCATACAACAGCTCCACCAGGTGTTACCACAACGCTCAGACCTGTCATCATGCAGCTGATTACACAGACAACACATCCGGCAACAGGCAGAGTGGTGGTGTCAACAAGAGCTACGTCCAAAAACGCTCTATCTACTCTGCACACAACCACTTCTCCAGCTCCTAGACCAACAACTTTCCCAGACAAGGCCACCACTAGGCTGGTATCCACTGCAAGAGCTACACCTGCAACAACTAGTACAACCATCACACGAACCACGACCCTCAGGGTGACACCCAGGATTCCTGTGACGACAAGAGTTACCCCGAGGATCACAACTGAGAGGTCAACCCTCAGACCAGTCACTGCAAGGGTTACCGTAGCAACAAGGCCTCCAGCTATGACCACCAGATCAACCACTCTCGGCCCTCCAACTCTCACATCAAGCCCTGGCACAGCAACCATGTCAGTGCCATCTACAACCATCGCAACATCTGCCCAGTGGGTCACTACAGCGAGCACGGCCAAACGTGCCGACACAGCAGTTCCCAGCCTAACCACCGTGACCACACCAGTTCCAGTTCCTACTCTAACAACAGTCACAGCATCCACTGCTGCACCCACAACAACCACCGGAGAGTTAGCCACATCTGAAAAACCTCTGACATCCAAAGAGAATGATGTGTTACCATCTACGTCCCAACCAGTGACACGTCCACCTGATATGGTGGTGTCCACCCAAGAGCTCAGTCTTCCCACTCCCACTACGTCTTCGCTCCCTGGAACCACTGTGGTCCAAACTACTGCAGCAGACAGAGTGGGTCGCACCAGTCCAGGTATGACACCTTCTGCACCAGAGTATCCCTTCACACCAGTGGGAACGACCAGTCACCCTGCAGAGGGGGCATCGTCCATGGCTGTACCGCCTGCAAGGATGTGCACGGTGAGTTTCAGTCTTGCTGAAATGATGAGTTCTATAATGACTTGATTTCCAGGTTCTTCCCTTTTGACTGATTTATATTAAAATGTGGACCCAAAAAATTCAAAAAGGTGCATTTTCAAAGCTAAATTTCAAAATAAAAGCACTGGCCACACCTTGTTAACATGCATAGCAGCAGCCATGGTTTAACTTCTCCTTCTGTTCTTCCTGGACAGTGTATATACAGAAATACAAGCTGGAATTTCAACCATTTTTTGTGATAAAATGTTTGAAACTCACTTATTAGATTTTTCCAGAGTATCCACGGCCCTCTTGACCAGATGGGCACTTTGGTCATAAAAATAAAACTTCTTGGGAAATGCACCGTATATGACCACAGCATGTGTCTGAAGTAGGTCACAGGATACGGTCAAAAGATCCAGAAAAAACTGTGGTTCAGAACATTCAGTCACAGATGGGTATTCCTGAGGACTAGCATGAATCTTTGTCTGTCTGTTCTGAGTAAAATCAGCCCCATGACTCAGTAAATATTAGTTTTCTAAATTTCTGTTTTGATTTTCTTGCTGCTGCATTTTCAGTTTTTATTTTTGTTTCCATTCAGCCTCCGTATGCAGAGATTGTCGATGAATGCACAAAGTACATTTGTGTCAACAACCAGCTCGTCCTCTTCAACAAATCACAGAGCTGCCCCTTCGCCTCTGTGCCTCCGCACTGTGGCCTGCTTGGCTTCGCCATCCTGCTCAGTGGAGACAAGTGCTGCCCTCAGTGGGACTGCCCATGTGAGGAAAATACAAAAAATAAAGTACAGATGTTCTATCTATGACTCTACAGTGTGGGGGCTCTTCAGTACCTTTGACCTGCCTTTAATCTGACTGCACTGAATGATGACAAACCAGCTCTTGTTTTAAAATTCCTCCAAACCACCTGTGTCTCCCACAGATGCTTGGTTGTGTCAGGTTATCGTCTTTGGCTGCTTTCAGCTTGTCATCTCTCCCTGATGTTCCAGGTCGCTGCTCAGTGTTTCCAGACTTGAATGTAATCACGTTTGATGGGAACAGCGTTGCCATCTACAAGGCTGCCTCATACATAGTGACCAAACTACCCAATGAGACCATCAGTGTCCTAGTCCAGGAGTGTCCTGCCGACTCGGAGTCACCTGTAAGTCAATACCACACTTGTCATGTTCTCTTAAAATTTGCTTTTACCTGATTATCTTCTCCCTTTCTCAAGCTCCTCTGGAATTTCACCAACCTGTGTCTGGTGTTGCTCAACATTACACACAATTCCAACCACATCGTCATCAACAGGCTGCAGAGGAAGGTAAGAGGAGCTGCCTGCTTGTCCTGCAGTAGTGTCAGATGAGCGATCACTTTGACAGCATGAACTTATTGTTTCCAGCTCTACATCAATTCGCGGTATGCCAGACCTCGGTTCAGGAGGTATGGCTTTGAAGTTTACGATACAGGCAACATGTACCTGGTTCGTAGCCCGGCTGGTCTGAAGCTGCAGTGGTACCACAGCACTGGCATGATGGTGATCGACACCGACAGCTCTGGCAACAAGCCTCCCACTATGGGCCTCTGTGGTAAGAGCCGGAATTTGTCCTGCAGTAGAGCTGCATGTACACTTTTCATTGTGCTCTTTAGAACAACTGTCCTGCCTTCATGGTCTAGTTTTACACACAGTTTCTTCTTACAGAAGTGATCTCACAGACGGGAGTCACTAAAATGCAGCGCTTGCAATTGCAGTGATTGTTCCAGTCATTTCCTGTATGAACCATGAGCAGAAAAAGTGTTGAGGGTTTGCATTTATTTAATCAATATGAATCAGCACAGAAACAAAAGCTGCACAGAGGCCTTGTTGTAGGTTTCCATCATTCTTTGACCAGTATGACCATGATGTCATCTAAGCAGTATTAAAAATGGCTTATAACATATTAAATTAAATTTGTGAACCATCACATTAAGCAGTGACAGCAGCTCCATATGGGACCATCTGCCACATACATAGGCTGCGACTGAGCTGTGTGACTCTGTGACCCCCCACACCCCCACACCCACCTTAGGCTTCTGCGATGGAGACCAAGCCAATGACCTGACTCTGGCCAACGGCACCACACTGGGTGTAAGTGAGGATCCAGCTCTGTTCATTGACAGCTGGCAGGTTCCCAACACCACCGGCTACGTCAGCCACAACCGCCTTCAACTGCTCCACCAGTGACTGCTCAAGCTGCCTGCTCATGCTGCAGAACCAAGTCTTCTCCCCCTGCCACGATTTCGTACGTTAACCCTCTGTGAACTCGTCTCCAGGTTTCTTGTATGTCAGAAATTCTGAGATAAACCCAGGCTCTGTGAGAAACCCTGTACGGCTACTGTTCACCTTGTTTCTTGGTAGACTGAAAATGCAATATGAATCAAAATCCTACTAATGTATTTAATTTATCAGCAGTTTTCTGCCATTCTTGCTCATTCACTTGTTTCTAAATAAATACCAGAATAAGATTTTAGACCTTAGAAAGCCAAGCATGGATGACATGTGGTGATAATAATAATTTTAATGAATAGCTCTGAATAAACTTAATCAGACTGTCTCCTGTCTTCAGGTCCCACCCCGCACATTCTGTGAAGTGTGGGTACAAGATGCGGAGTACGTCAATAACCAGTGTGTGGCCCTGGCTGCCTACGTGGCTTCATGCCACAAATTCAATATCTGCATTGAGTGGAGGAGTCCAGCTTACTGCCGTAAGATTTCTGACTGTTGGTAAAACATTCAAATGCTTTAACCTTGAATCGTTCAACTTTTTAAAAAAATCAGCAGAACAAGGCAAGAACTGCTGCTGCACCAGAGTGGGCTGCCTGTCCAAAGCGCTGGCTCAGCATCTCACCTGGAAATGTCAGAAGCTGCTTTAGGTTCTAAAACCATTTTCCACTAGTAGACCACCATGCATTGTGGTCTGTAACCACGCTTGTAGTTTTACTGAAGGAATCATCTATTTTATTTTTAAACAATTAATTTTTGTTTGTGAATAATCAAACTCTTGCACCCATCCATCAGTTATCTATACTGCTTATTCCTGATTGGGGTCAATCCTAGCTGACACTGGGTGAGAGGCGGGGTCCACCCTGGACAGGACGCCAGTCTGTCACAGGGCTGACACTAAGAGACAGACAGCCACACTCACTCCTACAGGGAAAGAAAATGTAGAAAAGTCAAGGTGACTTTCAGGATTAAACCAGTGCCCATTTGGTCTATCGACCTCACAGCAGTGGTCTTCAGGTTACTTCTTGGACAGAATGATGGTCCCTGGCTCACAAGGTTGAAAACCTTGACTAAAGCCAGTAACAATGGCTCTGTTCTATGTGTAAGTCATGACAGTGGGTCAACATGCACAGATCCTGGAATTGAAGCAGCTAAACAGAATTCAGTCATCACTTCTGTTATTACTGACATCTGTGGTTTTCCTTCTCTAACATGTCAAAATGTCTACTGTGAAAAAGTTCTCTTTGTTGCCCCAGCGTAGTGTAGTTACACACAGGCCAACAGCACTTAGACTGTTCCATGTCACTAATGAACCCATTTGGGCATTTAAGTTATTTTGCCTGATTAGACGTCTTCTCAGGACGGTGTGGGCCATTGTTTGGAAATGTTGTGACCAGCGTGGCTGTGCATAGCTTCCATTTTCATCCAAGCAACACCATCCATGATTTTTTTCTAGACTCCATTCAGCAGAATCCAGAAGTATTAATTCCAGTGAGTTTGAGGCACTGACATGTTTTGTCTCTTCCTGCAGCCTTCGTGTGTCCCGGCAGTCTGCGGTATCAGGCCTGTCTGCCGGCCTGCACGTCTCAGTCCTGCCCCAACCAGGACTTTGACTCAGATCCAGACCAGTGTTCAAGCCTGACTGAGGGCTGTGTGTGTCCTGAGGGAACACTCCTCCACCGGTTGTACTCGTCCCTCTGTATCTCCCCTGAGAAGTGTGGTAAGACCAGTTTTACAGCACTGGATAGACCATCCGCTGCAGGACTTCTGGCTCCTATGGTTTCTGAACATAGTTATTTGCAACTCTGGCTGGATGTATAGGCTCATTATCAGGCTGAAAGATAAGTTTAAGAATGATCCAGGCTCCTGTTGCTCTGTGGTGCAATGTAAACATCTACCGACTTTGCAGTGCTGTACCTTGATTGTACATTTTTAGTCAGTGCTTTAAAATTTTTTTTATTACCACAAAGGTTCATAAGTATTTTGAGATCCGGAGAGCTTGAATAGCAGACTCATGAAACTGTAAAGCCACCAACTAGTGTTGCAGAATCAAAGGCTTTGTACAAAACCTGTTCATAATGTTGTCAGCCTTAGTGACTGAAGTCTGCTTCAGTGTTGTCAGTGAACTCAAAGTCATGGCTGTATTTGTGCATGGGTGTGTGTGTGTGTGTGTCTGTGCAGCCTGCACTGACAGCTCCGGTGTTCCTCGTGCACATGGTGAAGTGTGGAAAGCCTCGAGGGACGCCTGCTGCATGTACCGCTGCAACAACGACACCATCGCCCCCGTGGAGTACAACTGCTCCAACATGCCAGTGCCTGTGTGCCGTCGAGCGGCGGAAGTGATGATCAGCCTGGTCGACGACGCTAGCTGCTGCCCACAGAAAGTCTGCGGTGAGGCCACAGGGCGCCCCAGAATGTTCTGTGCTTCAGCCTGAAATATGCCAGAGAACAGTATCTGAACCAGCAAGTCTTCAAGTCTGAGGCTCATTTCATGGTAATGAGATGATATCATTTCTGACTCTGCAGTGTGTAACCAGAGCCTGTGTGACCTGCTCCCTCCTGAATGTAAATATGGGGAGAAGCCGGTGTCGTACTACAGACACGACTCCTGCTGTCCACACTACGTGTGTGGTGAGTTCCCATCTGAACAGTTTACTCTCACGCTCTGACCAAAAAACTTTTTATCTGATAACTGCTTTGTTCTGCACCGTCTGATGGCTGTTACTAACACATTTAGTAATACCACTATAACTACACCTGTGCAGAAGCCTGTTTAGTAACTGTGTTGACTGGTTACTAAACTCTCCATTCACAGGAAAGAACGCAGACATGAAACTAGTGCTGCGCTTCTCAACTAACTCTCAGCAAGAAAACAAAACATATTTTCCCAAATGTGGAAGTGCACCATGAATGTTTTTGTTTCTGTGAGTTACAGAGTGTGATCCCGAGTTCTGTGAGTCAGACGTTCCCACCTGCAGAGAGGACCAGACTCTGATCGCCACCAGAGCCGATGGCAGCTGCTGCCTGGCCCACATCTGCAGTCAGTCCAAACACACACATACTGTGCAGAAATGTTTTAGGCACTAAAAATAACATGAGGATGCTTTTAAAAATAATACCAGGATTAGTTTTATTAACTAATTAACTTCATGCATAGTTCTTCTGTGGATTCAGGCTGTCCTGACCCCAGACTGATTCTATGATGTTGGGATCGGGGCTCTGGGGGGTAGGGGCAGACCATCTGCTGCAGGACTCCTGGTTCTTCTAGTTTCTGAACAAAGTTCTTTTGGACTCTTGCTGCCGGTTTAGGCTCAGTGACAGACTGCACAATGAACCCGAGTCTGATGAGGCACCTAGATAAGAATCAAGACATCTAAAGTAGCTCAGTACTGTATCAAATCAGCATTGGTCTTGTCACATTCACTGAATTATCAGCAGTTTAACCTCCAGCGTGATGAATGAAGTGCTTGTGTCCTGCAGCGTGCTCTTCCTGTCCGGAGACGCCGCCTCTGTGCCAGGATGGCGAGGTGCTGACAGTCGACAGCAACACCACCGACCGCTGCTGTCCCGCCTACCACTGTGGTCAGACTGCACACACTTGTCTTAATTATTTTTAGCTGAGTCCTCTGTCTGGTTAAATCCAGCTTACACCCTCTTAACAAAATAGTAGCTGCCACCTGTGTTTTGTTTGGTCACTTATTAAAATTTATAATTTTGCAATATTTGTATTCTACTTGAGTATTTTCATTTTCTGATGCTAATACTAATACAGAGGCAAATCTTGTACTTTTTACTGCACTACATGTATTTGATAACTTTAGTTCCTTTTCAGAATCAGGTAAGGTAGTTAACATCTGCTCCACCTTTATCAGCTGCAGCATTGAAGTGATTAAAGCAGTAACGCATCAGTCACTATGACCCAGTAATGTCATAGGCATTATTGAGAAATGTGCCATACTGCATAATAAGAACTTCTACTTTTGATACTTTAAAGTATATTTTGATGCTAATGTTGATGTTAAGTAAACAATTTGAGCACTTCTTCCACTATTGCTAGAAAACATTAAAGGCAGTATTTGTATTTGAGAGCAAAATAAATATATATACTGTATAATCAGCCAACATTTGTAATTTAAATACACAACATACACATTATGTTTGGTTCTTACAAATTCTTACCAAATTTAGTTAATAAAAAAAATTAATAAAACATATTAAATAATGCATATGTAAAAAGTGAGACATTAGCACTTTAAAAGTAAACTTGTAATGAAGACACAGTTTCTAAATGAGTGTGGCATTAGTACACTTAGGTATAACTACAGTATGCCCATATCCAAACAGCTGTGATTAGTTTAAATAAACCAGTACTAATACTATCTACCCAGCTCTGAGCACATACATGACTGGTGTGTTTTTGGTGTGTGTGCAGTGTGTGAGCCCTACAGGTGTCCTCGGGTCAGCTGTCCTGTTGGGATGTCGGTGGTGTCGGTGTCCAGTCCTGGTCATTGCTGTCCCAACCAAACCTGTGGTACGACTTGCAGTACAGCTGACAGTTAGTGATGTGTTCAGTGTTTTACCCTGAAAAGGTATAACAAGTTTAAATCAGGTTTTACTGCAGTCTGAATTTATGATGCAATATATTTATGATGATACAGATTTTTATTTGGTCGCTGTTGTCTCGTAAAGCTCTCAAACATAACTGAAATGTGCAGGTAATGATCATTCACAGTATGTTTTTTGTTACCAGAGTGTTCCTGTGAGAAGATTGCTTCCCCAAAATGTGGCCTGGTATGTCCTGACTTTTCATATTCGCTCTGTCTCTCTGGACCTCTAATGGTGTGTTTACAGTTGAAGTCAGAAGCTTACATACACCTTAAACAAATACAGCTGAGTTTCTCACAACTCCTGACATTTAATCCTATAAACATTGCTTGTCTTTGGTCAGTTAGTGTCACTGCTTTATTTTAAGAATGTCAGAATAATAGTAGAGTAAAAAGATTTATTTCAGCTTTTATTTCTTCCATCTCATTCCCATTGGGTCAGATGTTTACATACACTCAGCATTTGGTAGCGTTGCTTTTAAATGGTTTAACTTGGGTAAAACCATTTGTGATGCCTTCCACAGGCTTCTTGCAATAAGCTGCTGGAGTTTCAGCCCGTTCCTCCTGACAGAACTGGTGGAATTAGGTCTGGTTTGGAGGTGTCCTTGTTCGCACACGCTTTTTCTGTTCTGCCCACAAACTTCCTATAGGACTGAGGTCAGGGCCTTGTGATGGCCATTTCAGTACCTTGACTTTGTTGTCCTGAAGCCGTGTTGCCACAGCTTTGGAAATCTGCTTGGTGTCATTGTCCAGTTGGAAGACCCATTGTGACCAAGCTTTAAAGTCATGACTGATGTTCTGAGATGTTGCTTCAGTATATCCACATAATCTTCTTTCCTCATGATGCCATATATTTAGTGAGGTGCCCCAGTTCCTCCTGCAGCAAAGCCCCCCACAACGTGATGCCGCCTCCTCCATGCTTCATGGTTGGGATGGTGTTCTTCAGTTTGTGGGCCTCCCCCTTCCCCCCAACGTAACGATGGTCATTATGGCCAAACGGTTCAGTTTTTGTTTTATCGACTAGAGGACATTTGCCCAGAAAGTCAGATCTTCATCCCCATGTGCAGCAAACCAAATTTGAAGGTAGGCCTTAAAATCCATCCACAGCCGCAACTACTATGGACCTGAATTATGTCAGTTAGCCAATCAGAAGCTTCTAAAGCCATGACATCATTTCCTGGAATTGTCCAAGCTGTTTAAAGGCCCAGTCGACTGGGTGTATGTAAACATCTGACCCACTGCAGCTGTGAACTATAAGTGAAATCATCAATCTGTAAACAACTGCTACATAAAGTACATGTCCTAACCAAGTTGCCAAAAAGAGAGTCTGTTAACATGACATTTGTGGAGGTGTTAAGAAAAATCAGTTTTAATGACTTCAACTGCTTATGGTAAATATAACGGTGTGTTTGACAGCATATGTCTTTAGAGCTCACTTTTGTTAAATGATTTACTTTTCGCTCGGTGAAAACTGTTTTGTGCCAGTTTTCATGTTTGAAAAGGATACATGGCATGTGTGAGCTGACAAAGCTTTCAATTCTTTACCCATTTCTTAAACAACATAATGCACTAAAAATGCTAGCGGGCTAACAGCAAAGCTTTTGAGATACCACCGGACAATGCAGCATAAAACTGACTCCATGTACTATATGTGTTGGGTTTTCTATGAAAATAAAAGTATTTTTCTCTGAGTTTCCTCTTTGACACTCGCTCTCAGTGTTTCAGTAAATGAGCTGTGTATGTGACCTGGGTTCGGTTCTCATTGCTCTGTGCAGGGAGAGGCTGCGCAGCTGGACCGGGCCTTCCTGTCTGACCCACAGAACCAGTGTGCCTGCAAAAGATACAAGTGTGGTGAGTGCTGCTGAGAAGGGGGACTGGTTCATGTCCTGCAGCAGCTACTGCACATTGTTTTACCATCAAAAACAATATGCTTGCTCACTTGACAGATTCAGATTTTATTTTCCACAAGGCAAGGTGCTTCACTTTTGAAAGAAACACTTCACACAAGCAGAAATTTAAGACAAATGAAGTCTAAGTAATTTATGAGGCATAAGTCCACAACAAAGTCCAGTGGCTGACATGTTGCATACTGTGACCTCTGCTGTGTGTGTGTGTGTGTGTGTGTGTGTGCTTAGTGCGTGAGGCGGTGTGTGTGTTTGGCGAGCAGGGGGTGCTGCGGCCGGGTCAGACCCTGGTGGAGCATGGAGATGATGGCTTGCCTCGACCCTGCGAGCGGCTTCCACCTGTTCCGCACCATTAGCATCAACTGCTCCGCCCACTGCCAGCCAGTAAGACCACAACACACTCACACACCAGTACACACAACAAACGACCCTGGTGAAATGTGCTTCAACAGCTTTTAGTCTGTTTGGTCTTTTTTCTGTACTTGATCCTTGTCCTCATTGGGTCCAGCTTCTTCTTCTTCTGTAAAAATATATGAATTTAGAAAAGAAACTAAATCCAAACACAGGTAAAATCAAACCCACTGTACAGACAATAAAGATTTTATGTTTCAACCAGGTGGTAGTGCTTTATTGATTATAAGTAGTCAGGTTTTTTTTAAACAGAAGTGTGATAATTTCACAGTTTCTGACTTGTCAGATATGAATAGTTTCTGGTTTTCTTGGTCATTTTTAAATTGCAAATTGTACTTAATTCATCAGCTGAACAGAATGAATGTCTTATTTACATCAAATAATTGGCAGGACTTGGGAAGATAAAAACCACAGAAATGAAAAAGTCTTAAATTATAGTTAATAAAGGTCATTAGAAAAACTAAAGGGTATTTTTCTTACTTCAGATTTTCTGTGTTTGGTTTTGTTTAACAAGACTAATCCTGAGTGTTTGTGTTTCAGAACCAGGTTTACGTCCCTCCCAAGGACCAGTCGACCTGTTGCGGTGTTTGTAAGAATATTTCCTGCCTTTATGAACATGAGAATGGGACAACAGCTCTGTATAAGGTAGGAGATGGTTTTGATCAGAGCTGTGCACCTTCATAACAAATTATAATAACACAAACTGTGCAACACGGTCCCTCATTCAGCATTTCTGTCATCAGTGAAGTGTGCTTTGGGGTTTAAAATCACAAATCATCTACTACAGCACTAGCTGTAAGAAACAGAAACCCTCATAATTTTAACAACATTTAGTACATTTGCTTGTGACGATAGAAAAACACTACAAGCACAGCAGCATGGATGCTGACATCACTGTAGCTTTGTTTTTCATGTCCATAAAACTCACTAATGCAAGTCGTTTTTTCTGCCTTTCGTCTTTCTCACTGTGATCTCTTTTGTCTAAAAACATCTACCCATCTTCAATTTGACAGATTATTCAGTCTTGAATTAAGAAAAAGGTTTGTTAATGGAGTTTAAATTGTGAAAAATCAAATGCAGTTGGTATTAAAGAGAGGACTTTGAATCAGTAATACTCTTTGACCCCTAAACCTGTTTTCCTTTTCTTGCTGGTGCAGTTCAGTGTGGTTCACATTACTACATACAGCAGCTGATGTTGTTGAGGTTATTGGTGTGTTTTCAGCCAGGGAGGTCCTGGGTGTCAGACTGCATGAAGTTTGACTGCACAGACACTCTGTCCGGACCCACACTCGTCTCCTACTCCTTCAGCTGCCCCCCCTTCAACGAGACAGAGTGTATAAAGGTCAGCATGCAGCAACACACACACACAGTTGTAGGTCTATATATATATATATATGGATGTCATAAATGACCAAACCTGTCTGCTAGCATCTCTGTTAGCATGTTGATAGCCTGAGAAAAGGCACAGTTCTTGTCAGCTGTCCATTATCAAAAGGCAAAATTTCACACTCTATATTTGTAAGACTAATTATAAGAACATAATGCATTCGGTAGACCCTTACCTGAGCCTTACCCTCAACCCGATTTTAACCTGAACCTTAAAAATAGGTGCAAACCCTCAAACAGCTGTTTGAAGGTTTGGAAGGAGGTGAGGACTTTTCCCAGATGTCCTCACTCCCATGGTATAAAACTGGTTCTCACAATGCACAGCCATGCAAACAGAGGTGGAAAAAAGTCATATATGTGCAAGTCTTAGGTCTTAACCTTCAAGTCTCAAGCAAAGTCCCAAGTTACTGTGGTGAGAATCAAACAAGTCGAGTCCCTACTATAAGTCAAGTCACGAGTCAAGCCATAGAAAATTCTGCTGATCTGATAATGTTATGGGCATATCCCATATTTAAGTGAAATGTTCACAGACCTCCTCTGATTATTTTGCATTCATATAAACTAACCATTAGCTATTAAATAAAAAGTCCCCACAGTGTTAGGGTGTGAGTATTGTGTAAATTTGTTTCAGTTCCCACAACGTCAATAATATCAGGAAAACAGACACACTAAGGCACTTTCTGTTGTCTGCACTCAGATTGGAGGAACTGTCGTAACTTACATGGACGGATGCTGCAAAACCTGTGAGTATGTGATGTGAGCGTAGCAGCAGTTCTGTAGTTAGTGTAGAGCTGTAGGCTGCAGCTGACACTGAAGAGCACCTTCACCTGCTGCTCAACATGTTTCCAACATGTTTGCCCTTCAGTTTATCTGTTTCAGTCCAAAACCCTCACCGTCTGAATCGGTGTCTGGAACCCGGTTGCTGTTCTCCATTACGTTTGTCTGTTGTGTATTCAGATTAGAGACATCTGTTTGTGTGCTGTTCAGTGAATTCACGCATGGCCACAGATAAACTTTACAAAGTGCCACATGACTGAAGCACCTTTCACTGAAAAGCATCGGACAACATGCAAGTGGGTTTGTGGTTTATGTGCTGCAGCTTACCATCGTGTACCAATCCCACCAGGTACCGGATTCCCTCTGTTCCCATTTCCTGTTAGCCCCTTGACTCCCACAGTTAACACGAACTGTGAACGAGGTACCAAAACAACAAGGCTCGTCAGTGCCATTGTTGATATTCAACAATGTACTCCCTCCAAAACTGAATGAGAAACCACACAGGAAAACCAAGAATCTGACTACAACCTGTGCCCCTCTGCAGAACAGTCCTCTCAACTGCTGTCTCATTTCAGGTCTCAGTGGAAATAAGAAGAAAACCCAAAACAGGCGGCAGAATGAAATTTACTGTCTGTATTTGGACAATACATTCTTATCGATTCGCACAGCTTAAAATCTGATGGTGGTTTGTTTAAAAGATTTTTTAATAATGTTATCAAAGGTGTTAAAACAATGACACACCCTTAATCAAAGAAGGCGGGGAATCCTTTCTGTAGGCCAAAAATGATGTCACACTGGAGAGGACAGAATCACGTATTTATCCCTGCCCCTCCCTGTGGATCATGTTCATGTACACAACAGCTTCCCCCATTTAGCACTTTCTGGGCAGCGCATTGTTGATTGCCAACAATGTACTGTTGGTAGTGGCCCAGTAGTTGGGCTGAGACGTCTGCATGCATCAGTAGAAGCTCCTGTGGGTTGGTGTCGGGGGGCCTTTGCACCCATCATGTAGCTGCTGTAGAACATGTGCATGCTGAGCCACAGCTGCAGGGGATGCTGTGTGCAGGACTGAAGCTACTGTGTGAGGCGTCCCACCCTACTCATCAGTACTAATGATGAACAAACAGCTCTCCGTACATCTATGCACAAACTGCAGCAGCAGCAGCAGCAGTAGTAGAAGAAGTGCTCAAATCTTTTACTTAATTACTTAAGTACCTAATACTGCAGTTTTCAAATACTCGATCCTGCAGTTAGCATCCTACAGTATGTAAGTAAAAGTACAGTAGTACTATCAGCAAAAGTATTTATTGTGCAGTAACATGTCTTCTATGACTCATTATAGTCGGGTCATTTAGCCCAGAGTTTCTTTGATATTCTTTGATCTTGTAAAAATTTAGACCATTATTTGAATGAAACCATCTGAGATGTGTAGAAGGGAAGTTACTCTTTAGTGGAACCACTAACCACTTCTCAGTGACTAGGGTCCCCAACTAGACAAAACACTCTTGCGAAACTGGGCCCTTAGTGATGCCTGCAGTTTCCATAGCAAAGGCCTTTAAGGCTGATGGGTACTGTAATAATTAAAGCCATGTAATCTTAATGTTGAAAAGCCAAATTGCCACACATAGCAGCTTTAAGTCTGTGCTCTGTTGTTTTGTTTGCTTGTTTTTTTTTTTTTTATGCCAAAAGCCACAAAAGCAGAATATACTCAGAAATTAATTACATAAGTTAATCTTAAATATTATCGAAATATTACTGTTGTTAACTTTAACCAATTCTTATAAATACGTGGCTGACATTTGTAACAAGCCACAGTGCTTTAAAATCAGTTGTAAATTCAGTGCGTGGCGATGATTTTAATTGTGCATAGAGCTGCTGTCTTCAAACACTTACATGCATTAGGAGGCTTCCCTGTACCAACATGGCGGCCGCTATGAAAAGCAGCAGCTAATGAGGCATCTACGTGTTTACTGTATATCTGTTAGTGGCACAAAGGTGGGTGGACCCATTTCCCTTTAATTTGTAAGATGAAAAAGTTTAAAGCTATTTTATATAAGGCATGATGGAAGCTGTCATTTATTTATTTTCCTGTTAACACAAAACCTCATTCTGCCTCACTGGGAAGCTTCCTCCTTGTTGCTCTCTAAGAGTTAAGCTTTTGTTTTTGATTCCTCGGCTGTATTTCATCTCCTCCTTCATCAAACTCCACTAACAAGCAGCTTGAGACTTTGTGCATGATCCTCAGCTCTCCCTCTGGTTTCTTCTGTCATCCTCTTCTCCTGGAGTTGCTGTGTCTCTTCATTCAGCCGGGCAGATGTATGTTTTTTCCAGATAGGTCATGTTCACTTTGTTCCACTTGTTGTCACGTGAACAGGCAAAGAAGATGGAAAGTCGTGTCAGAAGGTGACAGTGAGGATGACCATCAGGAAGAGCGACTGCCGCAGCAACAGGCCGGTATGTTTTGTGTCTGCTGTGACATGCCATTACTATTTGAGGTAACCCTATATTGAGGTAAAGACAGCCAGTACTGCTTTATTTTACAGGTACGTGTTTTCTAGATCATTTTCCACTAATTTCGTGAAACATCTCCTGGTTTATTTTTTTGTATGGAAACAGAAACTTCACTTTTTCTATGTTTAGTGCTGTGCCCTGACAAAAAAATCTCAAGTTAACATTAAATAATACATGCACATATTTACAGTATACACATGTACAGTGGGTACGGAAAG